TGTGACCATAGCTGCTTAATAACATGGAATATGAAAATATGTTTTTGTTGTAAGATCATATTGAAGATGGGAAAATTACTTACAAAATCAAGATTTGTTTCAGCATATCTCAATTCAATCGCTTTCACACTCTTCATTTGTTATGTTAGATATAAGCTTGTTCTCTTCTTCTTTTGTCTTGGACTTGTTCTGGTTCAGTAACATCTCAGTTCTTGGCTCTGGCGCCATTCCTCTTGACAACATTTCTTGATAGTAACCCAATGCTTCTCCAATTTTTTCCTTTGTGTGCAAACCATGAACCCTAATAGTATATGTTCTTTGGTCTGGTCCTAACCCACTTCTCTCCATCTCACTCCATATCTCTCTCACTTTCTCATCATTGTCCCATTGCACATATAACCTAAACATCAAATTGTACAAGTCACTAGTCATCTCACACCCGTTCTTCGCCATCCTCTCCAAAACCGCCTCAACATCCTTCGGTTTCTGCGAATACTTAAGCAAGTAACCAAATGTCACGTCGTTAGGCGAACAGCTACCGCCTTTTTGTTCCATCTCTTCCACTAGCTCCCAAACTTTCTCTGTTCTCCTTATTTTGCAGAGATGCTTCAAAAGAGAGTTATAGGTTGCAACATTCGGAGAGCAACCATTCTCACTCATCTCCTTAAATATTTCAATAGCCTCCGGGATTCTCTTCTTGAAACACAATGCATCAATAACGTTATTGCAGATTTTGACATCCGGGTTTCTTCCGGTTTTCCACATTGCTTTGTATAGTTCCATGGCCTTTCCCAACTTCCCCTTCTTTGTCAATGCATTTATCATCGTCCCGTAGCTGACAACATCTGGCCTGCAATTAGAAGCAACAATGTCTCTCCAAAACCTCTTGGCTTCATGAACATTTCCCAAAACACACCACCCGTTGAGAATGAGGTTCATCGCTTTTATATCGAAGCCAAACTTATTTCTACGAGAGCAGAACAGAGTTTCCGCAAATTCGACGTGCTTATACCTACACAACCACATCAAGAGCCCATGAAATGCAACCAAATCATCCTCTATCCCAAACTCTCTCCTCTTCTCAAATACTCCCACAGCTTCATCTACTCTGTGCGCAGCAGCGTATCGGGTTAGCAAAACTTCATATGTCTTTGCATCAATAAGTCCATCTCTCTTAGACATTTCGTCGAACACTTGGTGGAACTCTTCAAAGCGCCGCATTTTACCAAGAACATCGAGAATCTCGTTGTACACAACGGAGCTAGATATATAAACAGATTGTTTACGAATCAATTGGTAAAGTATATAAGCTGGTCTCCAATCAGATCGATTCCGATTAACCACTTCCAAAACCAACCCTTGAGTTAACACTATCCCGCACTTATCGAGGATCCGCTTAATTTCCTCCGGAGAACTTCCACGGTGATTCTTCAAAATATTGTTAACATCAACAACAGATTGCTTGTCTTGTTCTTCGTTGAAACCAGTGGAGTTTCTGTCGGGAACTGCTATAGAATAAAGAAAGTGAGCAGTACCCAGAAAGTGAAACCCAGAGAGATTGATGTTCTTATGATTAGGTTTCTCCGACGGAGAAACCCGGCGGAGAGAGAGCAAGGACGAGGAAGGAGAAATCCGGCGTCGCCGTAGAGCATTTTGTAGCTGAAATAAAATCTCAAATTTGTTTTTCCCTCCCATTTTCACAAAGAAACTCTACTAGCTTCGGAAGCAATACCGTAACATATAAACTTTTTTTTTTGTTGGTAATTAATTATCGCAACACGTAACACAAGTTTTAAATATAGTGAGTTTATGATTAATTATTGGGGCAAATACAAAAATACTACTTTTTGTGTACACATTTGTAAGAATGTCATTTAGGGGTGTCTATTTATAAAAATACCACT